CTTTTCTGACACCAGAACAAAGTCGTAGAATCTATCAACGTTTTATGGATGCCTGCCAAGGATGCGACGGATTGGAGAATTACTGGTCCAAATGGAACGTGTTTTCATCCGATATTGAAATAATTAAGGACAAGCAAGAGCAGAACAATCGCGAGTACAGTAGTTGTACGTAACGATGAATTTCGCAGAAATGTTATTTATTTGATAAATACAAGTGAGCATAGGGCTCTGATATGAATATTATTTTAATGAATCGAAAATTTAGTGATTTACTTCATTAAATTCTTCCATTGAACCTCAATTATGAGTGATTCTAATCATGTTGAAGCTCTACGAGTCAGAGTCTTGAACATAAGTCAAGGCAGAAACATTAAGAGTAAAGTAAGGAGGTGATGAAGCCACGAGTTACCTCATATCGTTACCTTCTTCGTCTTCACAATGAGCTTCAAACTTATCTTTTACATTGCTCTTCATCCTCAATTTAAAGACTATACAATTTTTAGTTTATACAATGAAAGCTTATGGATTTTAAGATTCCATAGAGTTTATTCAGCTAATATTTTTGCACACAGAACAAAGATTATTATTTTTATATTGTATCATCTTGGGAAGAATTAGAACGTGAGCTCCTCTTAACGGTCGACCGTATATCATGCAGTCAACTGTAACCTCTTTGAATCGATCGTAGCTCTAGTCATTTTGTAGCGTTCCTCACAATTATACTCCAATATAAAAACAATCCAATTCAACAAATTATGCTTCGCATGCATAGTACTTACTCTTGGAAACCAACAGACCACTCGCTGATGCGCTAATATATTTATATTCGTCAATCGACAAAATCTACCTGTAAGTATTCCTCAGCCCAACCTACTCCATCAGATATACTTGTCCCAGCTTCGTTGATCTCAACACATCCATTATGCTCATCAGTGAGAGCTTATCTTTTATATTACTTTCGAATCATTTTATTGTTTGTTTGATCATCGAAGTCAGTCAACGAGTTATGATGTTCATCCACCAACTATTGCAATCTTTCTGGCTGCTCTCATGTAGATTTTACGTACGCGAACTGACTTAAGTCGTGCCGTATCGTACCGTACGCAAATCATACACACAAAATAACCTAGCAAAGGCATTGAATATTGCCAACGTATAGAGCTTGACTATCAACAATTTTTAATATTCATCAAGCACTATAAACACTAAACCTAGAAGTGCTGTTCCCAATATTTGTGTTTAATGAAAGTTATTCAATGCTATCATCTTCTTCTATGTTGATATGAACACTTTCATTTTCATCTTTTTTTTCGACTTCTCCGTAATTCTTTGCATTCTTAATTTAATGTGTAAATTCCTTTGACAAATGATCATCTTTAATAAGCTGTTTCAGCTTCTATGAGTAAGTGTACTTATTTTTATCTGGTCATCACACCTGACAGTCGTCATGCTCAACACCATTACTACTGCACATTCAGTTTTGTAAATCCATCTCCATTTCTTTGCTAATAACTACGTGAATAAGAACAATTAATAAAATCACTGTTGACAAACGATAGCTACTATGCATAAGCAAATTTTCAAGCAAGAAAACTAGAAGAAATATATCATAGTCATATAAAAAATACATAAGAGACGGCAAGTTAATTATAGAGTGTCGTGACCTCTATATGACTATACCCTTAATACATAAGAAATATCTTTCATTGCCTACAAAAAATAGTTTAGAGAAAAAAAAATACTATACAACTGAAACAAAAAGCAAAATTTCAACCGGAATTTGACATCAAAGGACTATAGCTACTAGAAGAATCAATCAAATAGAATATTTTGGTTTAGCATGAATCATATTGATAAAGTCTATTACTTATATGTGCATCCAATCAGTAGACAGAAGTAGATGAAAGCTGAAGTATTTCATTTTGTTCCTTTCTGTCTCCGCTCGTATTCGTCACTATATCTCTTTTATTGTACGTGTTGTTCTTCATTTTGTATCTCTTTTCAGCTGCTTTTATACAAACGTTTTATCTAACATAGTGATGTACCGTGAGAGAAATAGAATGCAATTTTGTGGAACGAACATCAATTCATGTCGATGATTTTTTCACTTTTTATTATAGATATTAAGATGGCGATGATCGAATCCGATGACGATCTAAACAATGAGTGGTCTCAATTAGCCCAATCGTATCAAGATGTATTGTTACCACGTTTTCAACCGCTCTATGATACCATGGCAAATTATGCTGTCAAGAAAATTCAGTCAAACGATACAAGAGATGAATACCAACTTTTGGATTATGGGACAGGTACATATAATATTTATTCTTTATGTTTTTGATCAGTAACGAACACCTCATATACTTCTTCGATCATTCTTTTACCAGGTCCTGGCGAGCCAATTCTGACTATTTTTCAGAAGCTTGTGGCTAATCAGCTTTACAATGTTGAGTTAAAAGCAATTGATTCTTCTCAGCGTATGCTGTCTTTAGCAGAAGAACGTTTGCGTAAATTGAAAAGCCAACATTTGACTGTAAATTTTTCCATAGCTGACGACTCATCGAATACAAACGTTTACGACATCATTACAAGCTCTCTGGTACTTTCCTATGCATCAGATCAAGGTCAAATGCTACGGGGCTTCTTCCAACAACTGAAACCAAATGGGATACTAATCAGTTCTCATTGGCCTCATCCTAATCAAGTTCCATTTCTTTCAGTCTTAAAACGAATTGTTCAGTTCATGGCCACAGGTGAAAGAATCAGTGCATCAGATCTAGAATCGAACGCATCATTCACCTGTTGGCAAGAAGAAATAACAAGACAAATGTTTGTCACAGAAGGCTATACAATAGAGCAATGGATAAATGTTCACCTTCCAATGTCTTTTCCTGATATTCGTACTCTACTTAGCTTCTGTCGAACATCTAAATGGTTTGGCGACTCGTCTTTGTATTTAGAAGCTGAAGAAGAGACCAGACGCATTTTACGTGAAGATTTTCACTTGAAACTTCAGTCAAATGGATCATTTGAGCTACCAAGCAAAGCAATTATAGTAATAGCGTCTAAATAACTACCTTATCATGGCTATGCATGATTAACGAATATAACCGTTACTTACTATGAATTCGTATTGTTTAATATATCAGTAAATTTCTAAAGTGAAAACTTTATATGTGAGCTAGTCATTGGATTTAAAAGGATGGTGTGATTAGAGGCCTGCAGGGTGCAAGATTTTTGTAACCTGTAACCTGCCCTGTAAAAATTTTATAACCTGATCCTGCCCTGCCCTGTGAACTTTTTTGCATGCCCTGCCCTGAGACTTTTTTTAGTAACCTGTAACCTGCCCTGCCCTGGTAATGTTCGATATTGCAAAAGGATTGGTAGTTTCACATTTATTTTCTAAGTTTTATTTCATTGTATATATTTTAAATATAAAGCAAAATAAAAACAATACTAAATTTCTCGAAAGTTTTTAATCATCAAAAGATCATCAACAACATCGGGTGTTGGTGTGGGTGTGGGTGTGGGTGGGGTGTGGGTGTGAGGTGTGGGTGTGGGTGTGGGTGTGGGTGTGGGTGTGGGTGAGTGAATACTGGAATAGGAGGAACACCCACACCCTTCTTGAATTCTAGGTTTTTTAGGGGTATGTACGTTGTTATAGCGATAGATAAGGCCGATACATGCCATTAGATGTCGTTACATGCCGTTACATGAATTCTTGAATTCTAGGTTTTTAGGGGTATATATGTTGTTATAGCGATAGATAAGGCAGATACATGCCGATACATGCCGATAGATACTGATCAGCAGGAACATGTCAGAGATTATAGGAAGTAGCCGATACAACTTGTATCTGTATTTGCGCAGCCCTTGACTAGTCACAGCATTTGTTCTTTGGTTAGATTTAATTACGTATTGAATTAATAAGCGTCATTTTGTTATTTAGACGCCCAACACTGACAGCAGTCTATAGTTAGATCGTAATTTGCCGTGAGAACATCTGTCAGGTCTTGAGTATTGTCGGGTAGGATGTTCGAATCCACCTTTCATCTCCTTTTTCTCTCGCTTTTCTGTTTTGCTGACTAGTCTGGACGTATTGAACTGACAAAATGGACTAGACATGTTGAGTTTTAGCATATTCTTGACTAGTCTAGACATAGTTGCAGAACATTCCTCAAAGAGACGACTAGTCCTGATGGGTACGCTAGATGTTTCAGACTAGATCTGACTTGTAGTGTGGACACTTTAGACTAGTCATGTTGGGCGTCCTCACTTATTTTTTGCTTGCCTGGGTGGCGGTGTACTTAGTCCTGTAAAGGTATACTTTGGCACTGTGGAGAACCAAGGCAGATGATCGCTTCACTTATACCTTCTTATTTCGCTTAATCATGAGTTCACTCCAGCACAGTTAAAAGAAATGATTCAAAACGAAGACTTTCGCGAAAATTTACTCAAGTATTTAGAAGATATTGTAAAAGAAGATTCAGATCTATTTCGAGGTAATACATACACTGCAATATTCGAGTTTGGGATTTGAAATATTCGCATTTGTGTATCTGAGGGAATTTTATACGCTAATGATGCCTTGTCGTTGCTTTAGCTTAGAGACGAGGTTCCAAGAAACTCTAGAGAACACATAATGCATTTACTTGAAATTTCCAATTTGAGTCAATCCTAATAATTGAATTATAATATATTTACTAGTATATTTGACTCTTATTTTTAAAGTGAAATTGAAGATCTGACAAGTTCAACAAGTAATTAGGACGCATCGAATCGTGAGCTTATTACTTTTTCTTATATTTTAGCTCTCATTTTGTCATTATTCTAGAAGCTGAAGCAGCAGCCAATGAAGTTGTTCCCGCTTGTTTACCAACACCGAATCCTGCGTTCTATGAGTTTCCACAAATTTTTCGCAAAGATATTGTGCTACTTGTGGAAACGTGCTACAAATACTCGAGAGGAAAGTCCAATGTTCTAAAACTTGTCGAATAAGTATGCTCGTGAAGACTTCCAACATCGATTCATCTACATGTCAGATAACTATGCGTCGATCACATCCATGGATCAACAACTTCAATGAATGGATTATAAGTGCTTGCCGATCCAATATGGATATAAAATTTATCTGGACTGGGAACGATGCTAAAGCTCTAGTGTATTATATAACTGATTATGTAACGAAATCAAGTCTGGCTTTCTACGCTATGTTTGCAGAGATTTTTNTCACAACACCTATCTCTGCTTTTATTTCAAAATCGTTATCTCATCTCTGTATTCTTGGACAAGACTGGTTGAATAAATATTCGGTGGATATCTGTCAATCCACACAACAAGTGATTATTCATACTGCTGAATCGAGTGTCAAGATTCCAATGGCCATCGTATTAATCAACACCATTTTCCTCTTAAATCAACCATTGCAATCATTATTCCACCACAACATGAAAGAATTATTGAATTACAATCACCTATATCATCTTCTCCTCAAGTTATTTTTCGTCCAAACCGAGTCCTTCAATCTCATAATCTTGTTGCTATACCTAATGCCCTGCTATCTATTAACAAATATCGAACATATACCACTGTTGTTAATCCTACTAATAGAATATGCCGTATTCCTATTAATACTACGATTGGTACATTTACTATTCCACCACCTAATCTTGAATGTCACAGTATTACTCTATCACCTACCATCGATCAATCGACTCCATCATCTCCTTCGCTATCATCGGACTTGAATGTTCCGACTTCGATGGACAACATTTTCAATGAATCACTAGCCCATTTATCGGATCCTGGTCAGAAACTCATTCTTTATCAATTATTAAAACAATATCAATGTTTATTTGATACATCCGTTCCTTCCATTGCTAATCTAACTGCTCCACCTATGATTAACACTGGTTCACACCCTCCTGTTCATTCACATGTGTATCGTACTGATCCCATTAAATAAAAGCATCTCACTGATACGATTAATGAAATGTTAAAACATGGACAAATAGAAAAATCTTATGCCAGCTGGTCTTCACCTGTTATTTTAGTGAAAAAAAAGGACGGAAGTTATCGTTTTGTTGTTGATTACCGCTCCTTGAACAATATTACTGAACGTGATTGTTATCCATTGCCACGCATAGATGACACGTTAAATCGATTAAATGGTAATAATTATTTTACAAAGCTTGACTTAAAATCGGGTTACCATCAAATTCGTATTCATCCCGATGATAAAGATAAAACAACTTTTGTTACATCACATGGAGCTTTTCGTTTTAATGTAATGCCTCAAGGGCTTAAGAACTCTCCATCGAATTTTCAACGTTTAATGTACGATTTATTAGTCAGTTCTAGATGGGATTATACTCTTGTATATCTTGACGATGTGGTGATATTTTCTCGAACATTCGATCAACATGTTCATCATTTAAATGAAATTTTGTCCACTTTATCATCAGCTCGTCTTCAATTGAACCCCCAAAAATGTTCCTTTGTTAAAGGAGAAATTGATTACCTTGGCCATACCATTAATGGCCAAGGCATACGTCCATTACAATCAAACATCGATGCGATTTTACAACTTCCTATACCATCTACACCGAAACAAGTCCATTCTTTCGTTCAAGCGGCCAATTATTATCGTAATCATATCAAAATTTTTTCTAAATTAGCAGCACCGTTGTTCCCATATACAAAGAAGAATGCCATTTGGATAGGTTGGACCGACGCGATGAACAATGCTTTTATCGAATTGAAACATCGACTAACTGAACCACCAATATTTTTAAATTTTCCCGAAGATGATGGACAATTTATTTTGTCAATAGACGCTTCTGGTGAAGGTATGGGTGGAGTCTTACGTCAAATAACATCTAACGGATTAAAGGTTATCAAATACGTTTCCAAGAAATTTAATTTGGCTCAAAAGAAATATTCAACTACAGAACGAGAATGTTTGGCGTTAGTTTGGTGCATTCAGAAACTAAAAGAATATATTAGGGGTCGGCCTGTTGAAATTGAAACCGACCATTGCCCACTCTGTAGTTTTAATAAGAAGAAATTCAATAATTCGCGTATCGATCGATGGTAAGTTGAATTGTCAGAATATCATATCACCAAAATTACTTATAAACGTGGCCGATGTAATTGTGATGCTGATTTATTGTCTCGATTCCCTTATGATGAAAGTGATATTGATGATAATGGTCATCCTCATCGTGTTCGATGTTTTACTTCAACATTAACTTCATCGATTCAACCAATACAACTCAATGTTATTACTCGATCAAAATCCAAAGCTATACAACAATCTTCATCTCCTACATCTCCATCAGCCACTGTTCCTTTATCTTCCGATAGTTCTACTATCCATCATCGTTCAATATTTGACCTATATATTGATCGCATTCGAATCGAACAAATGAAAGATGTTAATCTCTCTAATCGAATCAAATCTATTTTAGCACAACCCAATCAATATCCTCATGAAATTGTCGATGATGGCATCCTGTACAAAGTGATTAATCGAATTGATGGGTCTATCATACAATTACCATGGTTACCAGCATCATTAATTCCAGATGTTTTATTTTTATATCACGATCATCCAATGAGTGGTCACTTTGGTGTCACTCGAACATTTCACAAAGTTCAAGAACAATTCTTTTTCCCTCGCATGTATGATCATATTAAACGATATATTCGCTCGTGTAGTGCTTGTGCTCAATTTAATGTTCAACGACAAAAGAAACCAGGATTTTTACAATGTGAATTACCACCTGATGGAGTTTTCGAAATTATGCAAATGGACTTTTGGAAAGCACCAATTCGTTCATTCAATGGTAATCAATACGTTCTAATAATTACTGATCGTTTATCAAAATTCGTTTTTGCTCGTGCTTTACCATCAGCTACTGCGGCAGCTGCAGCTGAAATGCTTTTAGAAGATATTATTCTTAAACATGGATCTATTCGTTATCTCCAATCCGATCAAGGATCCCATTTTCGTAATGAACTTTTATCTGCAATCACAGCTTTAACTGGTTGTCAACAAGTCTTTTCTATTCCTTATCATCCAATGTCTAATGGGCAGGTGGAACGGTTCAACTCGACGTTTTGTGATCAATTGAAGAAATATTGTCATCATAATTTGACTGAATGGGATAATTATTTGTCTGCTGTTGTATGGGCTTATAACTCTACAGTTCATTCAACCACTCAGTTTATTCCATATGAATTAGCTTTTAATCGACGTCCACTATCTCCATTTGTTCCTACTCCAACTGCTATAAAACTAATGAAACCACATGATTATTGGGAGAAAGCTAATCGTTTTAAATCATTCGCCCTTCGATCAGCTCGGATTAACATTCAACAACAACAGATTGCTAGTAAAGAACGTTATGATCAAGGTCGTCGTCATCCTATATACAAAGCAGGCGATTTTGTTTGGTTAAAACATTCCATCAATCGAACGAAATTCGATGTACGCTTCGATGGTCCATTTGTCATCATCAATCGTATCAATCAGGTTAAATATCTTATCGAACACACGGAATTAGGTTATCGTCAGTATGAACATCTCAATAATCTTATTCCATTTTATGATCGAGATTAAATATTTATTATACATGTAAGCGATCGATATTTTTTTCTCTTCTCCAGTTCTATTACGACTCATCGAACTATTTTGTTTTCGATGAAAATATTTATGGATCTTCATGGAATCATTATTCACAGGTGGCAGTTTATGATTCATTCACGTTTATTACGAATATTAGAACTTACAATATCAACACGAATCGATCCTCGAATATGGATAAACACATTTTTTTTCTCTATTGGGTGGTTTCATTTTTCGTCGTGCGTTTTATCTTCCTTACATTTGTGCAAGTTTTGTTTTCTTTTGTTTTGTTGTTTATCTTCTCATAAGTTTTTTTGGTCGATGAGCAGATGATGCGCTCATCTGTTGTAGGGAAGGAGGTGTTAGGATATATGGATGATTTCATATTTCTTTTTCTTCAGTTGTTACTATATGTTCTTACCCGTCTGACCTATTCTTCTTCACTGATGTCTTTTGTTGTAACTCTACTCGTTGTTCATTTTCAATCAGACGAAGAAACTCTCAACTTCTTCCCTGACTAGTCCAATTTTCTCTTCCTATATATACTTCGTGTTTTTCCAATAAAAGAGAGACAAGCTAACATTCTAACTTACAGTCAATAAAAATCGTTGGAGTACCTTGAAATGATGTGGATATGAGCCTGGGTGTAAGTCTATAGATCACCCATACCCTCTGTATAGACAATTCAAATCGATTGGAATTATTTAAATTCATCTAGAGTCACCTGGAGTCAGTGGAGTCAATGGAATCACTTGGAGTCATCTGGAGTCAATAGAGTCATGGAGTCATGGAGTCAGCCGTTCCCCCCTTGTGACTCACCTGTTTACTTTTCGAAGCACACATAACACTCGGATTTAAATCTGAGGTTTCCACATTTATTTTATGTTATGGTGACGTCAGAGTTGGGTAAGAATGAGAATAGATGACTTGGTTCTTACACAATAATTTCTTTTCTTTCTTTTTCTTTGAAGATAGGAAGAAGGAAAATTGAAAAGCAACAATGGTGACTCAACATTCTTATGCAATAACTCGACTATATAATGAAATACGAAACACATGATGAAAAACTTCTCCTACTACTTCCCAGAAATATGTGTGCTTGTTTCAACAGAGCATTTTCTCCTCCAACGGATCAACAGAGAGCTAAAGCTCTTGGTGACATCTACCAAGTAAGTACCTGACAAGAATAACAATTTTCAATGGAGAGTTTCAGTGAAGTTCTAGTATAGTCATCGTTTTCGAGCCATGAGGATGCTGAGACATTAAATATATGCTAGCCCTTATTTTGATAAATTTTAGCTGAGCGATGACATTCGCCGAGCAGTCACAATTGGTATCGACGAATGTTTTTTACCATTTCCAGTACCAAATGAAGGTGATTGGGTTAGCATACATGCAGAGCAAGGTCAAACCGTGCAACAATTCGAGCGAACAAAACGAACAGTGCCACATTCAAGGTAAAGTCCTAATAGAAGAATATTCGGTCAACAGATTCTGTTTTTTTTTATATCTCTTTCAGTTACAGAACAATCTATGTACAACCCATCGGGTCGTTCGATCATCCAAGGTAAGGCTACGTGAAATTTTAAAAGTTTCGAATAGCAGGTTAGCAGAGAAAAACACTCTGTTTTTTCAATAGCTACGTTTGATTTTACTCTGAATTTCAACTTTCTAATAAGCGTAATTCTGAAGGGAAGATAGGAATCCGCTTTTGAAAAGATCAGTTAACTGGCTATATAGTTTCCTAATAGATATTGTTGAATATCACGGCCTTACTACTTCTAGGGCACCTTCATTGGAATCCATATGTGACTTTTCACGACCTTTCTTTCCTGGATGTCAATTAGAAATTTTACCTCGAATAGATTTTACTGATTTCTCAAAACATCTTCAAACTGGAAACCGTATAAATCCATATACAAAGCAACCACAATACTTAACAAGCTTTATAATTGGTCATTTAAAAAAAATGAAACGACGAGAACGAAAAAATGATCGACGAGAATTATTTTGCATTGGTGTTACCATGGCTGACATTTATCCAGCACCTGGCTGGAATTTCGTCTACGGTTTAGCATCAATCAACGATGGTATTGGAATTTATTCATTTTCTCGATTAGATCCTTCATTTCCAGATATAGCAACAGCTGGACCTTGCACAGATGAAGAACGAATATTGATGCTCAAACGAGCTATAAGTGTTTTTGTCCATGAAGTCATACATTTATTTGGCGTCGAACATTGTATTTATTACTTATGTTTGATGAACGGAGCAGAAACTGAAAAAGAAATGGACGGACAACCGTTGTATTTATGTCCAGTGTGTTTACGAAAAATGTATTTAGCATCGGGAAAAGAGAAGAAACATTTCAATGTCATACAAATGTATACGGAAATTTCAGATCTTTGTAAACGATTTCATTTTAAAGATGAATTGGCATGGTATGAAAACAGACTGAACTTATTGAATAAGATAGAGGACAATTAACTGTGAATTGAATTATTTTTTGTATCTCAATAGATATGGATCATCTCTCATTCAATGTTTATTAATTGTCTTCAATTATCAGGTTAAATATCATGATCGTTTCTTAATCGAAAGTTATAAACCAGTTCAGACTTAGTTCTATCGAAAACTGATCTCCACTTCTAAAGATAACGTAGGTTGACAGTTTTCGGATAACTTTTGCTGAGTACAAAATAAAGGTCCGCTGTTATCGCCATTGAAAACAGTGATGTTCAATTCATGTATCTATATATATGTTATTAGTTCAAAAGAGAATTTTTCAGAAGAGCTTTTGGGCTAATATTTTTTCTCTATATATTTTCATAAACTTGTAAAATAATCTCAGCTCAAATCATCTTGTGTCTGCAACGAAACTAGCCATAGAGAGAAAGTCAAGCAAAAATGAACGATATTGTATTTATAGGAGCTATTGCCAATATTTTGACAATTGATTTTGATCTCGGTAGGTTAGTGGTATGGGGTTTCAGAATTTGCGTCTTATTTCTCTTTTCACTGCGTTCCGCACTCACATCCCACATATTCATGTCCATTTCGAGAATTTCCTTTTAAATACGATTTCCATTACTACTTGGAGAATCATTTTCATTTGTTATCTGCTGGACTGCATGTATCAAATAGGTTTCAGTGGGTTTTTATATGCATAGCTCCACATATAAATCGATCGAACTCTTTCATATTTGGCGTCGTTTCTTTGTAATAGAAAGACCATAACCAAAAAAACATCATATATTATATCTCATGTAAAAAAAAGAGGAGAAAATCTGATTTCAGTAATTTTTTTGTGATTTTACAGCTATTCAAATGGCACATACTGATTCTGATTTTAATCGGATTTTCTGATCATAAAAAATCGATAACGTATTTGAAAATCTATTAAAACCACTTATGAAACAGTACAAAACCCACTTTTTTCTGTCGTTTTTCCTTAGGATAATTATCTATTCTAATTCTACATTATCAGTTAATCTGTTTCATCCTGTGACTATCGGTTAATCAATTTTAAGCTCTCAGCACTTGATTGAGTTTTAATCTCTTATTACTTGTTGATCGGTTTAAATCATGCACATTGAAAAGAAGCGCTTTTCTCGAGACTCGAACGCTAAACTCTAATATTCCATAATTCTTTTGAACCACTCTGGTTAAAAAGCATTTAGTTGCTACTAAGCTAAAGTCTGGCAAATTAAGTAATCTTGGCACACCTCTACAAAATTTTCCAAATCAAGACAGTGCAATTATATGTCAGGAATCGATTGACTCTGCAAAAAAATTTTAAATTGGTAACATCTCGAAAATAAGATTAGGCTTGACTATCCTCAGCTCGAATTTCTAATATTTGACCTATATGACTAAGGCATGAGTATATATGTGGACGCTGCTAAAGAGACGACCCACTCCAATCCTTACACCCGCACCATCATCTTGTAATGGATAGATTGCCACTAATAATTATCAAGACATTCTATACTCGATAGTGTCACTAAGCCGCACGTTGCGTATTTATCACTTCATAAGTGAAACTACTGACTGGTTTTTAATGAAATGGTTCGTTCTCTCTCTCTCTCACTGCTTTATTTTCACTTAGATATAATACAGTCATGCTCGTGTTTGTTATGTTCACTCAATAGATCCCAATTCATTCATATCTCAATACAGATATGGTCATACAATTGTTTTCATTTGAGAATGAGTACGACGGAATTAAAATATTCCCAAAACAATACTACTGCTCACTTCTATTCATTATCGAATGAAGAAGCAAACATTTGTCTGAGCATTGTTTTCTGTTATGAGTTTTTTTATTTTTCGACTAACGTCACTTAGACATGTAAAACGTGATAAGCCAAATAAATAACTTGTTTCAAGAAGAACAAGATTGTTGGGGCAACCTCTTTAGTGCAGAAATGTGGAACTCACATATTTCTCATAATGTAGAATACTCATTGACATTTAAAACTAGTTGCTAAGGTCTGTAATGGGGGCTGTTCGTAATGAAGGACCTCTGTGATGAAGAGTAGTTGTCTGTAGTAGGGTCTACGTCGCTTTGATCTGTAATGGGGAGGTGATACAGTGAACAGATAAAGAGGGGCCAGGAGCAATTCTTTTAATGCTTACAGCTATTAACTTCATATTTTGGATACATATAGCTGACACTTTATACTGATTAGCTGTGCTTTCCCAGCCTTCCTTAATCAAAAAGTTTCTGGATAATGACGTTTTCGGATTCCGCAAACTGCCAAATTGGCACCATAAAAAATAGTTTTTCCATTACAATGTTTTCTAGCAAAAATGAGACAATAATGTATTTTTCTTATACTTGATACGGTTATTAGCTATGTATTATATAAATCTGCTATGGAGTAATTATTATGTAAAGGCTTCAAGCTGGTTATCATCAATGAATTGTTTCCAAGTTTTGAACCCTTGTACACCAAAAATAACAAGAGTGCACAGTTGTCAGTACTTCATTTTATGGTTTTCATTCGGTATTCATCTTAACGTGAGAATTACCTAAATGCAAAACCTTATGACTTTTAAGGAAAATTTCATTGTTTGATTATAGTGTCGCACATATACATGCATATGTTACACATCTTTAGAAAAAAATGTGCATTTTAGTAGTTTATTACTTTGGAAAGCTCTCTTGATAGCTAAATATAAAAAATTTAGTAAGTGGGAAATGCATACAATCAAAAGAACTGGAGTTTTACATGTAAAAGCAAAACAATTAAAACATACATGATAATTTAAAATTTTTAGAAAATACAATCTCTAATGAGGTTTGATTCCACACTTACATTTTTTTTTCGATAATACCGGTCTTTTATGATCTGATTGACCAATGTTAGTAACCAATAACACTCAAGCTCAATTCGCAGTTTTAGCTAGATGAAAGCTTATATAAAAGATACACTTTCCTTTTTTTTGGTTTTTTTGTTTATGCATCAGATAATATTGCGAAAATGTACAGATGAGAAATGACAGAATTAATTCTCGTCAGTTTATAATATTTCGTGAGTTTCAGCAATGCCTCTCCAGGCTTCCAGATTAGGGAGGGGAGGAGGGGGTCTAGTCCCCCCAAAACTTGAAAAATGTCCGACTTTCTGCGAAAATTTCTTATACTTTCTGCCAAATTTTTGAAAATTTCAGTAATATTTGGCATAAACTCAGTTTTTAAGCACTAATCACCATTTTTCTGGCAGAAAGTCGATCAAGTTAGTATTCGTTGTTCAGTTTCTGCCGAATTTTTAGCCCCTCCCACTTTTCAAAACAATCGGGAACCCTGTGCCTCTCTGATATGTTGTAGAAAATATTTATAAATATTATACGAAGTTTGAAATCGTTATGCAATTTCTCCTGAAAATTATTAAAATGAGTTTCCGAGTATTTCATATTTTTTGAAGTTCTCTTTAAAGCCTAAATTTCTCGATATTCATAGTATGTGTTGCAATCTTTGTTAGCTCTTCTAGTATGAAGAGAATACAATAAAGAACAAAAACGTTTGCAGTTACAAATTAAAATAAATTTTATCTCTACCAAAAATCATATTAGCGTATGATTGAATAATTATTCAGAACAATTATCTTAGAAATGCGCTTTTTAGTTGCAGCAAGATTCACGTTTAATTATTTTTGAGAAAGTAAACGATTTAAAATACACCACAGCTTTCAACTTCATTTTTCGACTTTTGAAGCACTCAACATTTTGAACGTATTAAAACTGGCGACAACTGGGATGAAAACTGAGAAGAATCCGTAAGTTTCAGGAAAATTATCGTTTTGAATGAGTTCATATCCACTTAACACGCTTAAATGGTTTTTTATGACTGTCTGTATGGAGGGTCTTGCGCGTACCTTATGCTGCATTGCTTACCAATAACGTGGGTATATATGCCAGCCAATATGCAGTGATTAAATACAACAACGAAGGTTGTTTTGCGTGTTCATTCTTTTACTTAGTAATTCGAAATTGAGTTGCTCTCTTTCATTAATCAATTATTGATCAAGTATAGTTACGATTCATAGAGAAATTCGAGAAGAGCTCATACTCTGCCNGAATTTTTCAAAGTATTCATGTTTTATACAATATCAATCGAAAAGCGCCTGTATTTTGGAAAATTCATATCTCAGTAATACTATGTCCAAAAGTACTGAGATTTTTTTTACAAGCTAGTCCAATTGAGGGCTTTATCTGGGCAAAGTTTCAGCTCAAAATTCGAAAATATGATTTTCCTGGAAAACCAAGGTTCCACAGGGAATTTTGGGCAAAACTTGAGTATCTCAGCCAAATCACAATATGGACCCATATCCTCTTAGACTTGTTCTAGTCTACCAGACCCCTACTTATGGGCAAAATATGAAGCCAAAAGCGGTGAACCACTTGGGGACCTTCCCTTGTTAGTAGAACAAGGTTTGTTTCAAGAATAAATTAATAGTTCAGTCTTCCTTCTTAGAGCAGAGTAAACAAAATATTAAACTTGAATTTCTTTTTTATATAAAATAACACAGCAGGCCCAGATAATAAGTCAATTTATCTATCAATGTGCACTAACTGATGTAAACATATTCCGTTAAATATCTTTTTTGCATTTATTTTTTCCAAGTTTAATTTCGACGATAGAGTTTCATCAATGAAAAACCGATAGAACCAGATCATAGTTTTGCTTTTCTGACATATTCAACAATTATTTTTTTTATTTTTGAGCAAACCACTTACTATAGTCCGTACTGTATCCTTTTGTATAATTCTCAATGTTCGACTTCAACAAAGAGTTTCTTTTTAGTCAGATCAATTTCCAACTCTATACGAAGAATATCTTGACGATCCAACGATCGAAATAAAAATCGCTCGTGTCGACCTCGTACGTCCAAATAATATTCTCATGTTTATTTTCCGTCGACAATTAACAACAGCAGGTACAGTCGCTGATCTAAATGAAGAAGCACGTGTTATGCATCCACGTCAACATTTAATTTATACTTATCTTGCACAACAAAGATTTTTTCGTCGAATTCGATTTGCATTGGAAAAAATCTTTGCACGTCCTCTTGATTTATCCTTATCAACTGATCGTAATACAACCATGTATGAATCAGCGAAACCAATGGCTCTTCTTTATCAACCATTGATATTATATGATGATACATTTATACTACAAGAATATTTCATACCGAAACCATTTTTTCGACAATGGTACGATCGATTGAAATTAATTATTCGAGAAAAATATAGTCATGTTTTCCTATTAAATTTAACAATACGTTTTGTGAAAAAAGATCAAACAACATTTTTACCATATACAAAAGATGCCGATTGCTATGCATTTGTTTTCTATTTTCGAATTAAATGTAATGAAATCGGTGATCAACAAGTACGTGAATTACATCAAAAACTTATTCAATTAGCATTTGATTGTCATGGTACATTCTATCTACCTTATCGACAACATTATACGTTCGAACAAATGTTTAAAGCATATCCAATGATCAATGAATTTTTCGAAAAAAAATTAACATATGATCCGATCGGACTTTTTTCAAATGATTGGTATGAAAATTATCAACAACAATCTGTCATAAGTCAATCAAAAAATATCAATTTATTACCTATGGAAAAAGTTGATTTGATTACAGATCAATTTTCAATTGTTGAACAACGACGAATGCATTCATTTCGTCATGTCATTATGGATGATGTTATGAGAGAAAAATTTCGCAAATTTCTTCATACTGTATTCAATGCAGAGCCGGCTTATGTAACTTTTAATTATGTCAATCGTGCTGTTCGAAATTCTGCCAATCAGAATGATCACGATGTTTATCGACATTTACAACATGCTCTTAGCACAAGACAATTTGCTTTTATTCGAGGTCTATGGGCACTTGTCAAGCAAGTTGTACAATTACGAATACAAATAAAAGATCTTATACGACAACAGATCACAATCTTCAAACATCTAGGCTATTGTGGAAAGGTAAAAATCATGAGATGAATATTAATTATCGTCTCTAAACAGTTTTGTTTTTTCCTAGATCAAAAATATTGTTAGCATAGGCGATGGTGGTCGATGTATTCATGATTTACGTCAAATATTAAAAATAAACGATGGTCGAGTATTCATTCTCAATGATAAACAACGTTTAACGGACATTATCGAACGAAATAGTTTATTTCAAATTGGTACTTTTATTCCATATGATTTCAAAAATCTCGTCGATATACCAATTCCAAGTGAATCAATTGATCTTGTTGTTTGTTATATGGGTTTACATCATTTACCACAAGAACAATTAGATCTATTTTTCAAAATAATCTATCGTATACTTCGTCCAAATGGTCTTTTCCTTTTTCGAGAACATCATGCTCGAAAAGAATTGATTCCATTATTAGATGTTGCACATATGGTATTTAATGTTGTCACTGGTGTTGATTATGAATCAGAAATAAATGAAATTCGAGCATTTCGAACAATTGAACAATGGCGTTCATGCTTAAGACATGCCGGTTTCGAAGATACATTTGTTTATGACGAACAAGAAGATGATCCAACGGATGATATTATGATTGTTTTTCGAAAACCAGAACAATATAAAGAAGTAACAAATATAGATTGGAATGAAAATTATCAAAAAATTATTGCCAATCCAGAATCGAATTATTTTCGACCATGTGAATGGTTAATTGTTCGAATTTGTATGCAATTTGGACAATATTTAAATCATACACCATTCTATTATTTTCCTTTTGTCAAATTTCTTCTACATTATTGGTCATTGTTTCTTGTTGAAACTAATTTATCAATTACAAAATATGGTCTGCAGGCAATACTTTTTCGATCACCTGGTTTTCAAATGAATGCTTTTATCGGTATTTTTATGACTGTATCATTTTTACCTTTAATATTTTTTTCGTTCTTCGTAAGAATTTTTTCACCTCGAACTATACCCGAATATGAACAATTAGTTCTTGAACAGACCAAAGAAATTGATGAAAACATGTTCAATTTTCAACAATCAATCGATCAACATATTGATAATGTGCAAATTTTGAAAACGAAAGGTTTTTATGCCATACGTGTACCAAGACATCATATATTCACATCTATATTAAAAAAATTAGCTATGCATTCGAGTAAATTCAATCTTCATTATATTTCGAATCAAGATGGTCAAATTCAAGTTGAACTTTCAATCAATAATGGTAATGCACAACGTTTACTATGGTTAAAACAACAAGCGAGTATTAATGTTATCTATGAATATAAGAATCCGACCGATAACAAACAAACAAATTTGATTGTTGGTGTCAAAATTAACGAATTATTCTCATTTATTCGGAACTGTGCAAATTTTGAATTCGATAATTCAATGACAATTGTTCAAATTTTTGACTACTTTGAATAGATCACCTGTTGATCTCCATATGCTATTTAGACTAATAATTGACTTGAACTAAAATATACACTTTGGCATTTTCATAAATTGTATCAATCTTATCTTTGCATTACTCTTTTTTTGTAACATGATGTTATTTTTTCTCTTACGTGTCGAAAGCAAAAGTTTATGCACATATAAATAGAAGAATTGTAAAATTAATTATAAAAAGCAATATACAAAATTATGCGGCACATGATTTCATAGACAAACGTATTTCAGTTAATTAACCGTAAAATTTTTCATTTGAGATTTTTTTGTTCAAATTTTATTGATACATGTTTCCTCAGCTGCATCAAGTGCATGTTATATTAGCTTGTTATCTTTTCAAAGCGTATGCTTTTCACTTTTGTTTTGAGCAGACTATCTAAATTAGCAGTGGTTAGCATGATTAACCAAAATTTTCCGTACACTTAGTCGTTGAAAAGTTCATTGTCCATATCTAATTCTGATATGCAACACCATGAAATTCAGATTCGATACATTACAGCTTCACGGATTTCAAAATTCTCCTAAGTGTTGATCATTATCAAAAATGTATGTCAAACTTTAGAGATAAGATCATGTTTCATTGACCTCTAGTAAAGCCATAAAGTAAATAGAGAACAAGAGAAAAAATAAAGCAAAAACAGTTTGTAAAGATTTTTAAAAAAATATAATCCTGTATGAAACGCATACATAATCATTTTGATAAATATAGCATCAATACTGGAATACTCATCGTTAGAAAACATATTTTTCGCTCTCATATATGATAAATTTGTTTTATTTATATTTGTATTAATATTTTGATTGTATATTTTATGCCATATATATATTGAATATCATGACATACTCTCAATTTAAAAAAAACTTCGTTTTCAGCCAGAAATGATTTGCAAAATTAAAAATTAAATATCTCTAATTTTTACATTATCAACAATCTATCCATTATTAAATTTGAATGGTCATATTACTATTCGTTCATCAATTCCATCCCTATTTACAATTCTATGGCAAATAATTGTATATATATTAATAGAAGTTTTTATTTTATTTTTTGGACACATTGTTTATTTCATACACATTGATTATATAAACATATCCATAAAAAACATCGTATTTTTAAGCAACTCACTGGTTTTGTATCTGTTTTAGCTAATTCAATAGAATTATTATTTCAAAACCAACTCGGCATTTGGCTTAAATCTTTTCTAGTTAAAGATAAACATTTATTTACCTTATGTTTATGGATACATATATAAGTCCACAATATTATTTTCTATGGTTATTATCTGCTACATTACAACATGATTATCATTATCAACATGCTGCACGAATGAATTATGGAAGTTTTTTAACAATATGGAATCGATTAATGAATACACATAAACCAAAAAAAGACGAATAACTTTTTTCTTTCATTCAGTTCTATGTAATCGGTAGTTTAATTGATTTGATACATATTTCAAATAATCAATGATGACTTCAGAGGAAATTCATGTCAGGAACAAATGAATTTCTAGAGTAATTAATATGGTGATACTTCAAAAATATCTATCAATCTATATTCATTTTTTCATATAAATAATGATTGTTTTTTTTATATTAACTAAGAAGTTTTTCCCCAAGCAAATAATTTTGTTTATCGAATGATAGTGATAAATAACCGATCAAATGTGTATAAGAATTATATGTCAATTGACAGTTAAATTATGATAAAATATTTTTAAGTAAGAATGGTTGATGAGGAACGAATTCTTTTTTTCTCTATGGATGGATTCACTCTCACTATCGATTGTTCAACTTCAATACATCTTTCTTTCTCGATTNTTGATTTAATTAAAATTTTAGATTTTGTTTTATTTATCAAAATTATTGGTGTATTATTTCCCGATCTAATGACCTACACTTTTATATATTTTTGTATCAAAGCTAAGGCTTTAGAGAGATATGACATGTTCTAACATGACATGCATCTTATGGATTATCACGTGAATATAATCAGAAGAAAGATTTATACTTGCCGACACATATGACGTTTGACTTTAAATTTAAATAGTAGTTCTATTATTAGTCGAGCTCCATGTCTACTTCCTAATCGAAACTACAGTAGATAATCTGTTCGTGAGAATGGAAGTGATGAGCTTCTCTTCAGTTTACACCTACATCCATAGCCTTTCTCAATTTTGACCTTTCCTTTTTAAGTCCATTTCTTGCTTACCGTTACATGATCTTTAACAAAATGAAAAATTAATTCAAATTTCAGCTTTTTCATGTCAAATCATTGTCAATAGTTACATTGGCGACGGGTGACGAGATATTACTGTCTAGGCATATTTTTAATAATATTGTTGGCAACCCTTTGAATATATGTTATTCATGCATCTTTTACCGCATTCTTCATTTATTTCATAGAATTTTCAACTTTTATTGATTTAATTTATATTGCTACAACATAAATAATTTAGATTATCTCAGCACGAAGACATTGATCTTTTTAATTTCATGACATTTAATAAGCAAAGATTATTAATAGCTAAAATGATATGTATAGAAATTTGTAAAAAATATTTCATTATTTTTGAAAAATATCTTTACATAAGTGTTTCTATACACTTGAATATCATTTTCATAAATGTGTCTCAACATATGCGATGTTACTAAGCTGATCAAAATAGTATATGTTCTACTAACATCTAAGATATGATACGGAGTAAGAGTGCATTGATAATCTCGTTGGGATTTGACATACATATGAAATAGATAAATGTCGATCACAAAACGGAATGGCTTAACAATTACTATTTGCTGATGATTTCTCTTTATCGGTTTGATCAAATATCATCTGTTGCACGTTTAGATCATTCGAAAAAAGTATGTTGCAACGGTTATATTATTTTGTAATATTGCTTTTAGCTACCTATGTCCTTGGACAAGAGAGACCCATTGCATTGATTGGTACCATTCTTTTACCTGACCAAAGTATTAACAATGGGACATTACTAATTGTCAACGGACATATTGGGGCAGTAGGTGCTGAAATTTCCATTCCAAATAATGCGATTATTCTACATACTCATGGTGTTATTTTACCTGGTCTTATAGACCTACATAATCATCTAACATGGAATATTTTTCCACGTTGGAAACCTTTGGAAGAATTTGGTAGTCGTTATGATTGGCAACAAAAACCAATTTATAAAACACTTCTCGAATCACCACATAGAGGACTAGTTGAAGCTGGTCTATCATGTGAAATGCAACGATATGCAGAAGTAAAAGCTATCACCCAAGGTACAACAAGTGTAATTGGTAGTTTGCGAAGACCTTGTAATCGAGGATTAGCACGTAATCTTGACGATGACCCAACACTTGGACAGATTCTCTATGATGTTTTTCCATTGCAAATGATAGATATGAAACTGAAAGAAGTAAATGATATTTTATCTTCTAATGGTTCATTATTTATTCATGTTGCAGAAGGTTCACCAAATGATGCAACAGCAGCAAGAGAATTTCTTATGTTGAAAGCTCGTAATTTATTAATACCAGGTGTATCGTTTATTCATGGTGTTGCTCTAAAAGAAAATGACTTTCGTGCTATGGCCAATGCTAGCGTTGGTTTAATTTGGTCTCCACGAAGTAATTTAGAACTTTATGGTGACACAACAAATCTAGAAGCTGCATTAGAAAATCATGTTATTACAGCCATTGCTCCAGATTGGAGTCCTACTGGTAGTGATGGTCTACTCAGTGAATTGAACTTTGCTGCTACATGGAATGCTGGTTTAGAATATTCTCTCTTCGATGATCGTTTACTATTAGGAATGGCAACAATCAATCCAGCTAAATTAGTTCACCTTGAAAAGCGCTTGGGTGCATTAAATGAAGGATATCTAGCTGATGTACTCGTGCTACAACTGAATAATAATCAATCTAAGCTCAATCCGTATTGGGCTGCTACACATTCTACCCCTGAAGATGTTTCGCTTGTCTTAATTGATGGTAAAGCTGTTTATGGTAATTCTGAAATAATGAAAGAATTAGTCGATTCTACAAACTTAGAATCATTAGAAATATGTGGCATTGAAAAAAGTATTTCTTTTGCTAGCCAAAATGGTCCTCAACCTTCATTTCGTCAAACTCAACAATTATTGAAGAATGCACTTCGTCATTGGGGTCGCACACTAGCTCCACTTTCAGAATGCGGAAACTGAATTCTCTTTTGTCCTTCTTGATTTAACAATAATTAAAGCTCAATCTATCACATAAACATTGGGACAAGTATCGTTACTGAAGCATCATTTAAAACGAATACTATGTTTTTATTTACACAATAAATTAAAGAGACTTTTAAAAAATCTGAGAATCTTGTTTTTCTTCAACTACAAAGATACAAATAGCTTCCTTTTTGAAGTACGAAGTTCAGATTTATTATATTAATTGTATAACCTTCAATGTTCAATATTTCTTCGATTGTATGGTATATGTAGATGATTGAATACACAAAATGAAGATTATTAAAATTCAATGAAATGAAATTAGCAGCAAAATGGCTGAAAATCAAGCTGAACTTAACAAATAGTTATCAGACTTGACGCATTGGATTGATTCGTTGCATCTTGAACTGAAACTCAGTCTAACAGCCGCATAAGTGATTCAGAAAAAGAGAATTCGTTTTCGTTGTAACCACGAGATACTTGGGAAAAACTTCTTATGAATAATTTAAACAAATATGGAAGCATAACGTCTGGTGTACTTTTTCTAATTATAATTCCTTAAGATTAGTATATTTATACAATCATGCTGAAGTGTATTCCAAACAGCTAGTGCATGTTTGTGATCATAGTTTTTCTTCGTTTAGTTCTCTGTTTATACTATCACACTACTTAATATTTTCCATTAAAATATATTAGTCGATTGTTCTTCTTTTTCTCTCTCTGTGGGTGTGGGTGAAGTGAAGATAACATCGCACACCCACACCCAGTTCATGTGAAATTGGCATTATCAAACTGGGAACGATCAGTGCAAACAGTTATAAATTGGAAGGCATCGCTGCTTACGTACTCACAACTTTCCAAAGCGAGACAATTGTATGTTAATCAAATTATTGTGTTAGTATGAAAGAGAGTTCATTTTAACTTTTAAAGTATTTACAGTCACCCATATCAATTAAGAAACTATCAATGTCTTAACTGTCAGTCATTAATTATTATCATCCAATAGAAGAAATAGTTTTGTTGTCGATGTTTGCACTAATTTGTTATGCACCTAATCCCATAAAACCTTCCAGAACAATGACGAGTGATTTAAGAGAAGATCTCTCCTCACTCTCTCACATGAACACACTCAACTTCTTAAGTAAAGCTATATATTAGTGATGTTCATTTCTTCTTGTTTTTCATACGAAAATGAATACTAGATAGGAGATTTTAATGTTATACAGTTGTAATAAGATAAACTTTATCATATGGAATGTTGTTAATTTGAACATAGCGTAGTTGTAGACATCATCAAGGAAATAAAGGATTTAACCATTTTTTTCCAGCTTTTTTTTTAGTAAACTAATCAACCGATAAGTTATTGTACAGCATTTACTGTTCTCTTTAGTCTAGATGCACATTAACTATTTGCTTGGAGTACTCTCTCAAAGATATGTCATACCTCGATCTGATTCTGTCCTTCATGGAAATCAAGCAGTACTTGTTTCTTACTTGTGTTTAGTCGCTTTTCGAATTATTCTCAATGTAGGCTCGGTAATTATTTTCATTTTCATACATCCAGCATTAACTTCGGCCACTTTCAGATAATGATATAGAGCATTTCAATTTTCATAGAATTTTCTTTTCTTTATTCTTGACTCATCAAATAGATTGTAGTTTCTTTTTATTCATCATGATCTATCATTTTCTTCTTCTTGAATAGCTTTAATTATCGTAGTGTTGTTGATAAATGAGATGAACGTTGTATTTAGTCAATATTATAAAATGAAAGTTTTTTTATACGTAAGAACGACTTAGAACTCAACAATTGCTATATGACCTAACAATAAATTCTCAAAACGAACAAGTATTAATAAGATCTTATCTCCGTCCAAGGTATTTTCTAAAAGAAAAGCAAATATATACAAGCAGTCAATTGTGGACTACAACCTGTTACTAATCAATTGTGGAAATTCAACATCAAGCATTTTCATATTAATATCTCCTATAAGTTTGATGAAAGAAATGAGGGTGGATGTGCTTGAGCGGAAAGATGGGGAGAGGGCGGTGTACCAATGGCCTACACTTCTACACTCTCAACTAGTTCTTCTCTTCTTCCTTACTCATCCATCACACCAAGTCACCTCATACTTTCAAATTGTCATACAGAATCCAAGAGATGCCATATTGATGTGGATGGTAGAGTGTGAAGACGTGTGTTGTCTCTGAACTTACAGTCTACAGCCACATCCTCACTCTTACCCAACGACATTTACAACAACCCATTTTGAAAGACTTTTCGCGGAATTTTTTTTCCGAATGGATAAATTAATTTCACTCGAGTCGAAGAACGAAAGTTAAGATCAAAGCGATTGAGTTCTTCCTGACAAGACATATTTGAAAGTCATATCGATTAGATCGAACTTCTATTATTGAAGACTTGCGTCAAGAGTTGAGCACTTGATTGAATTGTTGAAGAATTTTATGTGTCAACATCCATATTTTTCACATCAATCCTCCTTCCAATCTACGGTTGCTTGATTAAGGGTGGATGGTCATGACAATACTCTGATCTGCCCGAAAAGGTTCTTCGACAATGAAAGGATCTGAGTGTTGACGGGTTGTCGGTTATGGGTAAGGATTTATTTCTTCACCCCCCTACATATTTATCGAAGACTACAATAGGATGTAGAATTCAAGACTAAACAAATATGTCTCATAACAGATAATGTGCCGTTTGCATTCGTTTGATACGATCAAAATATTGAAATTATTTATTGTATATTTTCATCGTTCAACATAATAATGATCCTTCCTTTCTTTACAAAATGTAGCAGAGTGAAAATCATGAAAAAAAAAACTTACTCAATATGTATTAATGGTTTCACTTTTCATCTAGATCATGAGTCGGTTGCAATTTTCTATCGATTCTATTCGATCAAAGCCAGTAGTGCAATTAGAAACTTGAGAAAAGAAAAGAAAAGACAATACATACTGATTTTTGAGTCATAGAGAAAGTAATCCATTGATCTTATGTTACAAAAATTGAATTAAATAAAAATGAAAGAACAAAGCCTTCAGAAAAGCGAATGCTTTTCATCTGGCTAATTCAGTAATATTTTCTTTTTTGAGATATTCTTTTGATTACTATCAATGATATATATAACTTAATCGAGAACAAAAAATATACACACCATTCTTTTTTATAAGTGAATATTTTTCAAGTGTGCTTTATATAAGATCAATTGATATTTTTAAAAGAAAATCATGCAAGCTTTATGGCAATATATTCTCATCGTTGCAATTTTTACAGTGGCCTATGGCAAGTTTGAAACGAAAAATATTCAATCAATTTCCAGTGGACTTTCATTCGGGATGTGTCGTGGTTATTGTCAACAATCGATCAATGTGACATCAAATCCATTACGGATCGTGGCTACAAAAGAGGCAAACTTCGTGCAAAAACCCTATCCTCCCATTCGACAACCATTTCCTTTCTCATCAAATCAATGGGAAGAACTTATTTCTCTTCTTAATGTGAACGTATTTGAGGCATTGGGTGATACAGTCGGATGTCCTGATTGCGCTGATGGTGGAGCAGAATGGATTCAAGTTAATTGGACAGAGGGCAGCAAACGAGTGACATTCGAAAATGGACGTGCTATCAAAGGAATTGAAGAATTAATTGGAAAACTACGACAACTGAGACAAGAATATGGAAATCAAATTTAAAATTATCTACTGAGAAAAATGAATCAATAAAATCGGAAAAAATTCCGCAAATAAAAGACTCTAAAAACTTTTTGTTGTCTGCTGATTTGTTCAAACTTTTTTCTACAAAACTCTTCTTTTAGATTATACATCTAGAAAATATAAGAAATGAAAGAATCTAATTTTACAGAAGCAAGACCAAAATGGATCTGTAATAAGTTTAACGATGTGAAATTTGTATTGTTCAATATTCTTCGTATAGCCTATTTAGTAAGGAAAAATAATTTAGAGATCATTTTAACTGTTACAACTTGATTTTTAAATAAACTCACAGTTCATCATCGTTGAACTCAATCTAATAACAATATTAATGCATGAATTTTTTCCGATTTTGTTGATTCATTTTTCTCAGTAGATAATTTTAAATTTGATATCAATATTCTTGTCTCAGTTGTCGTAGTTTTCCAATTAATTCTTCAATTCCTTTGATAGCACGTCCATTTTCGAATGTCACTCGTTTGCTGCCCTCTGTCCAATTAACTTGAATCCATTCTGCTCCACCATCAGCGCAATCAGGACATCCGACTGTATCACNAGCGATGGGAATCTTCAGCACCCATGCTCGGCAACGTCGGGGGTGGTTGAGACATGTAAACGTTGCTGTGATCATAACCGTGTGAAATCAAAGCGCAAATAAGAAGCATTTATAAATACTTCGGGATACGGTTGCATCCAAACACAGGGATGAAAAGTGCTCAGTCAAATTTCAAAGATACTTCTGTATATGTTTTAACTAATGGTTGCATTTAGATGCATTTCAAGTATACTACCACAGCTTTTTCAAGGTTCTTTCTAACAGATCATAATCATCTTCACAAAATATAAGCATGTTAAATTAATTTATGTATACTCTTCAATCTATCGAACACGTGCTTCTTGTGTAGAAAAAAAATGCTGACTTGTGTCTCATTTACCTTGCATGACACGATAAATTGATATTTGTCTTCTAGTAGTGGATGTTTGATAATATTATGTATTTTATTAGACAAAGCAATTACGTACATAACAACTTACAAAGATTAAGTGTACGACATAATATATAATATTTTCCTTGCAATATATACAATCTTCTCATTTATAGTTGCAATCATAACCAAGACAATGTTATTGTCAATATCAATATCTTCACAAAAGATATTTAGATATGATCATTTTTCATTGTCAAATGTAATATACTGTTGATCTGTTATGTTTACTTTGCAAATACCTAAAAATAATTGACCATGACGAACTTGAATGATATTTTGTATGAATTCAATACAAGATTTATCGCCAAGCAAGAACAACTAATAATTATCATTCTTTTGACTTTGAAGAATAATTTCTCATGATAATAAAACGATTTGTAAAAATATAACATGTTTTAAACAGTTTTATATTCTGTTGACGAAGAAGATATCGAATTTTGATGAGCATAGTTTTGTTTACGTCATCTTGTTGAAAATGAACTGTTGATTTTCATTGATTGAGGATGATAAAATTGAATGTTTTGTAGACAGAACAATATTAATGAAATCCTTTTAACTATTGTTGAATGAAACATAAACAAATTCAATTAATATCAAGCAGAGCGGTTTCAAGTTATTGTGAATCTCGCACGTATGCCAACGTGTGAAATGATTCGTTGAAGTTATTAAATCTGAGTTAATAACAAAAATGATTAAATGATAATGAAATTAAATAAAGTATTATATAATGATTATTTATACCTAGAACATTTTTGAAACAGAAAGCCGCATAATTGCTCAACAAGCCGTGTTCTGGAATACTTGCAGTCACATGATACAAGCTGTACATAAATTGAGAACTATGTCATGGTGTATAAAGAATTGGAAACAATTGTGGACAACCATCAAGTAACAGATGAATATTTTTTACTTTTGTACGATGAATATGACGAGATTCAGCAATATGTCGTTTTATAATAAGCAGAAGAAAATGGTTCGCATATCTTATCGGTGAAACAGCGCAAAACACAGAAAATCCAAAATTCCATTGGTTTTGTATTGTTGATATTTTGATAGAAAATAAGCTATGTGAATTGCTGTTGATTGCATACATTATTGAACAAAGATAACGATGAACAGCATTTAAGTTGAAATGAATATTCCATGATTACTTTCTATACTTTTTATGAAATCGAAGATGAAGCAAACTTTTCGAATCAGTAAAAGACATTCATATTAAGAATAACACTTCTACTCTATAATTGATGGACACATATGTAGTCCAAACTGAACAAAAATCGTCGGTAATTTTTACAGCTGTATACCATGATGCATTGTATCACAACGGATGAATATTTTTGAAGTTTCTTAAACCTGACAGAATTAAGTCGGTTTCTATACACCCATATAGTGTTGATACATTTGAGTCGTCTGTATTAGTCACAGAGCCCAAATTAGTCCAGTTCTGATATGATTTTTTTGCCATAGCTGCCATTACAACAATTCTTATTTGTAAAAATATATTCTGAAACTGGCTTTTGTTTCAAGACAAAGTTGAATTCTTACTAATGATCAATTCGAAGGGTGTGTGAGTGTGGCTGAAGAGAAGTTCCACACTTAGACCTGTGCTCACACGCTGTACTCATGCCCATATCCGCATTCCCAATCCTCTTGATCTCCAACGATACCATTCGAGACACAGTTGGTATCAGTCGGCGCTTCTAATACATCTTAGTAGATAAAATACAAAATTGCATATGAACGTATATTCTGTCCATATATAAAGCCCACAGAACTGACCGGCTTAGGATATTTACATTGTCTCTTTTGATGACTTCTCCTATTCAAGCTTCAATAAGAATAACTGACATGACAATATAATCTTATTATTCACTTATTGTCATTATTATTATTTGTTCACAATACAAACAACACAATAAAAACTCATATATAATCAAGCATTAGAATTGTTCTCGCATCTGTGTTTCATTCAGTTGTATCTGCAAACCAATGCTTGGTCGATGGTTCAAGACAGATAACAATGTAACATCCTTTTCATTCCCATTTTTTGTTTCAATCAAAGCGACTTGCAATTCATTTTCTTGTAATCGATTCAGAAATTGTTTTCGTAAATAAACTAATTTTGGATTGTTCAAGAGAAAAACTGCCAATACCCATTTATGTCGTGCTTTTGACCAGCATCTGGAAGATTTTTCATAAATATGATCTCGAAGAAGATGACTGATAAAACACAGAAGAACGGGATGACGATGGGCACATTCTACATGAATAAATCCACAATAGGCACTAAAACCTGAATCAGTCGTTTCTAATTTTCGACCGAGCGGTGAATAGTCTAGTCGACACATGTATACAATGCTACCGATAATAGTTTTGAGTAATCGAATGAAAGCAGCCAATAAACCGAGAAAAGCATCAAGAAAAATATTGAAATATAAAAATATCATAAATACACGTCGATTGTTAAGCGACAGAATATTGATTTTATGTTGTAAAAATACATATTGACCCAGAACTTTGTTCAGATACATCTTGAAAAAAATTATGAGCAGAAAAGGAATCAGTTTTTTGAGAATATTCTCTAAGAATCTTGAGCTTCCATATGTGAGAAATGATCCAATCATAACAGCAATGATAAAAGACAAGAAGCCCAAAAGTACATATCCTAAGATCACATAACCAATGAGAGTACCAGCAAAGCGGAAATTCCCGATAACATAATCGACATTTTCTGAGGATTTTGGTACTGGGATTTCAGAATGATCACCACTAAATGCTTGTAGAAGATTTCGACGAATCGACGCAAGCATAACGAGTAGTTGTAAAATTATCACCAGTAGAGTGAAAACAATAGAAAATACATACGGTCGATAAAAGTCAGGTAGACGAAAATTCGATGACTCATCCTTGCCAGCTTGTAAATTTGGATCCGGTTTCAAATAGATTATGACAAGGAAATTGACTGCTTTTTGAATATGTGGACGAAGTTCGACGAGTATCGGAGGGATTCGGACCAACGCCTGGTGATTAATTTAGTAGAATAGAACAAAATGTAGTTACATTGCAAGAAAACTTTGTTGCAATACTTACTTGTACCGTAATAAAGAAAAGTAATAGTGAAATAGCCGCATAAGTACAGACCACACGTGATGAAAATCGAAAATCATCTCGCCATGCATAAATAAATCGAAATGTTTTTGAAAAGTAATTTGTTGATTCATTTGTAGTTCTCATTCCCAGAAGATTTTTCACATAACGCGATTCAACTGAATTCGGCAATGATGAAAAGAGAAGGTTCTGCTGTTCGCGTGACAATCGTTTTCCAACGATTTTTCTGTATCGAATTCGTTTGATAAGCAGTGTGAATAGTTTGACAGTAATGTAGGACAAAAATAGATAACGAGGAATATCCATAAGAAGCTGGAAAAACAATAATTTCGATCCTGTACCATAATATTTCAAATATCTAATGGTACGAGTATCGCCAGTGCTATTATAATTTTTATCAGTTGAATAAAAATCATTGCGGCATAATCCAGTGTCTACAATCGTGATGCCGAAATCTAGCTATGTATACAAAGAAGCACAGATTAAACTGAATGGTGTATCAATGTAAATAGCAGCTAAAGTTGGATAACGACGAAAACCGATGACGAGAACTTTAAGTATTTCACGAAGATAGGTTACAATGATACCTAATAAGAGAATAGACTTTTGTGTTATTTGTAGAAATTCAAAAATGTAGGAGAGTTTGTTATTTAGGAGAAAAAATGAAAAAGTTATGTATGATGTTAGACGCGATCAGAGTGATTCATTTTATGGTATTAGATCAATGATGATCTTGCATATTCGACTACAAAATAATATTTCATCCATGTTCTAAAGTATCACAATCAAAATAATTCATACTCACTTTTATTCTTTCTCAATATTTTTATGAGGTGAGTATTTAATGTTGTTGTCTAGTAAATAGTGCACTATAGAAATTATGGA